CCCCCCGCCCTCCCCCCAGAAAGCAACGCAAAGAATTCGTAGCGAATCGAATCTATCCCGAACTCTCCATCTGTGGACAAGAGATGACTCAATTCGTTGTGTTATTGTGAGGAAAAAACAAACAAACACACACACACACACGTCTTTTCAAATAGCACGGTCGATGCCAATAATAAAAACACACGCACACACACACACACACACACACACACACACACACACACACACACACACACAAAGACCCCACCTCGGCTTGGACGCCGCCGCCGCGGCTGAAACAGCGGAGCTCCTCTCCTCGGGTGCCAGGGAATCGAAGCTCCCTAGCGCGCGGAACCGCTTGTAGCGTTGCGCCACAAGCTCCTCCCCGGACAGAGGCGACAGGTTGGACAACGAGTCGCAGATGAAAGCGCGAAGCCGTCTAGAGATTAAGGGGGGAGGGAGAGACGGGGGGGGGGGGGGGACCNCTACTGCTTGAGAGGGGTCCAGGAGATACTCTTCATCTCCCAGGCGTAGCCTTCATAATGATCTGCCAAGGACCTATGTGGAGTGAGAGGGCGGGGTGGGGGAGTTCCGGGTACCGTATATGACACAAGATAACACACCCCCTGAACCGATCTTCAAAGCTCGATTACTCCACAACGAAGAGGATGCATAAATGAAACAACACATTTTTGGAAAGCTCTCGAACGAGACAGTTTGATCGCCGTCGTTTTCGGCGCTGTGACTGTTCCTGCAGTTGAGAAATCGATCTTCGAAAATTGGTCAAGGGGGTGTGTTATCTTGTGTCATAAACGGTATATACAAGTCGCACGCACCAGCAAGACAAGCGCACGTACTTCTGTACCACCCAGGACACCTCCTACACCACGACACAAGCAGGTTGATTGTTGTTGCGACAGCAGCAGGGACCATCACAGCAAGGAAGGGGCGGGCACTGTCCCGTCTGAGGAGAGAGACCCCGCAGCTACCGGAGTCATGCGACACCCCATATGAAACGACAGCAGTAGCAAACAACCCAGCCGGGACAGAACCGGGCGATTGTTTTTCGGGCCCGGAGCATGCGTACCGGAGACCGTTAACGTTCTCAAAAGGAGGAGGACGACGAGGAGGGGCCCACGGTCAGCAGAGGCTACGATAAGCCCCGGTTGCCTTGCACTCGCTGGCTACAGTAGCACTCCCAGATCAGTAGAGTAAAACACGTTTCTGTGATCCTGCAAATCGGACTCCCTTTCTCACGACGGGAACGCAATTTTCTAGAGTATCTTGGAGGGAGCTTTCTCACCCGGCCATGATGGGGAAGTGTTCGTGTGTTTCGCCCTGGGCAGGCTCCCAGATGACCTCATCTACTACCCCGATCTCCTTCAGCTGATCTGGAACAACGGTGCAGGGCAATCAACGACAGAACAGATAGACCCGAGAACTTTAAAAAGGCACATTAGGGCACATTAGAGAACAGCATCAACGAGGTGAAAAAGAGAGCTAATTGTAGAGGGATTAATTCCATCACTCGACACACCGGCAGGGGGAGGGATTGTCAACGAATTAAGAACACGCTACGGTTTCTACACCGCGTCGACACCCGAGGCAATGCCGAACGCTCATCAGCTGTCAGGTCTGTCTAAACGTTCACGCCCAACGGCGTACGATACTTGCAAAACAAACGAGATAGAAAAAGAGAAGGATCATGACCAGATCAAAGGCCGCCCCCCGTGAGCAAGGTCGCCATCACTATGCACGCGGCATTCTCATCGATTTAAGCGATATGGAACAAAATGAGTACCAAAAAAAAATTATCAAATCACGGCATATAGCTGCCGTCCGCCTCTCCTGCTTCCGGCGTTCTCACTTGCGTAGATCTGCTGAGCGGTGGCGAGCTCCTGGCAGTCCTTGGGGAACTGCTCCGCCTTGTGGGCGTCGTCCTTGTAGCGCCCCAGGATGGACGCCGCGCCCTCAGGCGAAATCTGCCGAAAACAAGACGGTGTTTCGCGCAGACAACGGGGCAAGGGGAGGTCATGACAGGGGGGGGGGGGGGGGGGGGGGGGGGGGGGGGGGGGGGGCTAAAGGT